CGACGAGCTGGCGATGGAGACGCGGCCCGCGGAGAAGGACGATCTCTCCACCACAGTGCAGAGACCCCACGCAGCAGGAGGTGAGCTGCAGGCACCTCTCCCGTGGGTTTGGAGGAAACGGGGCTGGGGGGGGGCGAGTGAGCAGGGGGGAGAAAAAGCCGCATTTCTGAGCGTGGCCGCCGAGTTTAACAAAGCGAGATCCATCGCTATTGTGTAAGGAGGAAACTTCCCCCAAAACACAGACGTGAATGGAACCCAGAAGTGCCCAAACAGACAATCTGGTGCCCGATTGCCCTTGAATTAGACGGGACTGAAGCCCATGGACAGAGATTAGTCTCTGCTGTTGGGACTCCAGGCTGCTTTCCTCCAAGCTGTCCTAAACCTGAGCTCCCAAGTCGTTTAAGCACACGTGAAAGTTGTGCCCCTTCCTTTCCTTCTGGCTTTCAGCCAGGTTTTGAGCTGGCTCCGCTGACTGCTCAGTTTAAGAGTGGTCATCACGCTGCAGAACACTGATTTGAATATTTATTTTTTTTTTCATAAATCTGAAAGGAGTAAGGACAGCGCGCTTGTTTGAGGGGAAAAGTTAAACTCCAGCAATAGTTTGCTCTTGAACTTGTGACTACACCCTGTTTTGGGGACAGCAGTAACATTGTTCTTTGCTACCCAAGAGAAATGTGTCCAAGTAAATTCTTCAGCGAAATAGTGACTCTCGGCAGTAAATCCTATTTCAGGGTTATCAGAGGAGCATTTAGCGTTATTACAGAGGAGATGGCTTTACCTGAACAATAAACAGAATTTTTAGGGAATACTTGAAGGGGGAGGCAGTTCTAGAGATGTGGTGAGGTGCTGTAGGGAGGGATCATGGGTGTCCCTAATGGAGTGGGTTCTCTGGAGTCTGATTGATAAGGTTGTGCTCATCTGATATCACTTCCCTTAGCCGAGACACTGATGGTTTCTTTCCTCAACCCAACTGCCCGTTTTCATACAACCCATTGGAGCTTCATGTTCTTCAGATTTCCATCTTCCTCTTAAACGCAGTTGAGATTAATCCTAGAGAAGCAGGAGGGCTGTATGCAGACCGCTGCCATCTTTGACAGACACATCTGTGCTGGCAAACCCCCTCCTTCCCCCTAGAAGTAGCGAGAGTTTCATCTTTCCCATGCAGGAGCCTGCGCTGGACTCCCGCTGCCTCAACACCAGCCCTTTGCACGTTCCAGAGTGGTGTGATCCGAGGACAGGGGAGTCAGGGATTCCTGGGGTCCTGACCCCCAGCTTTGGCAGGCCGTTGCTCCCAGCGGTCCAGTCAGAGGAGGCGACCCTAGCTGTGTGTTTATCATTCTCTTTCCCAAAGTTGGCGTATTTGGTTAAATATCATTGATGTGAGGAACGTGAGCTCTCCTGGGCAGGCCTCTCCTGTGTGGTGGCACCAAGGACGAGGGGTTCCGAGCACTGTGCTATGGTCGAACGGGCTTGTTTCTATTGACGGTAAGAGCGGGGCCAGCGATGCAGAGCTCCTAAATGGAGAGAGGAGCACACAGCAGCTACAGGCAGAGAAGTAGCAAGTACCCTGGAGAGCTAGGATCCCAGTCTGTGGACAGCAGCCCGTAAGCATATCTGTCTTCCTTCTCAAAGTTTAGAGGTAGGTAAAGACAGAGGTGGCGCCAGCAGAGGTTAGCAGTGCTCCACGTGTTTCACCGTCCTCTATGAATCTGTCCCGCAGCTGAGCACAAAAGAAATCCCCATTGCGGGCTGGCAACCACCCAGCCCCAGGGGGACGTTCCAGCTAAGTTTGCTTTGCATTGTTTTTCACCAGGTCATGATGACTTATTTAGCTGCTGCCAAAGCAAAAACTTCAGAGGGGCTTCTTACACCTACTTCGCAGTCCACATCACTGGGGCTCTTGTTCTCTTCATGACTGATGGGATTGTGGTGAGTTCAGCGGATAGAGGGATCTTGTCTGAGCGAAGCTCTGTGGCTTTCTTCCTTCCAAATCACTTGTAACAGCCCAAACCCAGCTCGTGTCCTCTGCGTGCAGTGGGCTGGACCCGAGGGTCTGCCGGTGCAGCAGTCCGGTTCCAAAGGCAGCTCCTTCAAAGCTAATCGGTCAGGCTGATACGTGCCCTGCTTCTTGGGAGGGTTTTGTGGCTTCTCCTAGGCTCCGTGGCGTTGCAGCTAGATTGCTACTGCTACTACCTTAGCCAGTTTAGAGCCGGAGTTGTGACGTTGTCTACTTGTATGCAGTGGAGGTCTCTTCTCGCTTCAGCCAAGAGGCAAGAACAGCTTCATTTTATTTCATAAGAAATGGTGGCTCTTTGTGTGATGGGTCTCCTGAGCCCTCAAAATCCAAGACAAGAGCATGCGGGGATGGTGCAGTGGCCTGGCAGCATGTCCCTGGCCGGCGCAGTCACTCGGGCTTCGCCCTTTGTAGCACTTCTGTCCGGGCGAGGAAGGCTCGCTCTTGGCTAGCAAGTGGCTGTTCTTTTTCTTTCAACAGTTTTGTGTCAGTCCCCTCGTGGTAAAATACTGCTGGGTCTTGCGAGGGCATTAAATAGGGTCCGGAAAGATGAGCGGGGTTACACAAAGCAGCTGTCAGGTGCAGGAAATGTCCAGGGTCTCCATCTTCGAGGATGATCAAGTCCAAGTTCTCGATGCGATACGTTTTGAGAGTATGCGATGCCAAAAGGACAAGACAGTCCCTAGGGAAGAGACCGTCTCTACAGATAAGAGCTTAGCATGCGTTTTACCTGGGAACGCTGTTAAGTCTTGCCCTTTTAGGAGAGCTTAAGTCCTGTATTCTACTTCTGGTGGAAGCCTGTCTCCAGCTGCAGACCCTTGGGAAGAAGGTTCGTTGAGGTTTGGTAGCAAATCCGTAGGTGGGCTCTCCAGCACTGTCACAATTATGTGAGTGGTTGAGGGACAGGTTGAAGTTAAAGTTGCAAAGCCTGGAAGTCATCACATCAGCGTGACAGGGTCTTTCGTTTTCCCTGCAGGGAGAGTACTCGGGCTTCATTTACAGCTACGCAGTGGAAGAGCCCCTCTCCGTGGTCCATAAAGTGGCCGGCTACTTGCCCAGCCTCTTCTGGGGCTTCATCACGTTGGGCAGGCTCATCTCCATCCCGGTGTCCTACCGCATGAAGCCAGCAACTATGGTCTTCATCAATGTGGTAAGGCTGGATTTACTTTGTTTTTCTTCTGCTTGCTTCCGAGGTGCCGCCTGGTTTGGTTTGTGCAGAGCTGCAGCACCTCTCTGGCCGTACCTAGGGGAGGTTTGCACCAGGCAGCTGCCCACCCTGGGCTGCCCGAGCCTTCCTCTGACCCCGATGCACGAGGTAGCCAGGACGTGCAACTTGATTGTGCTGCTTCTCTGAGCTTGCTCCTCCGTTAATCTAAGGCTCGATTTGTGAAAGCACCTCGCGAAGTGTCTGCCAACTTTATTGACTTGGCACAGTGTCTTCTCTGGCATCTACAGGGAAATGAATGCCTGTGTTAGCCGTGGGAAAGGGAAGGCAGAGAGTTCAGTAAATTCTCTGCTTAGACTGTAGCAGCTGTCAAAAAACCTGATGCGATGCGAGGTTGCTTAAATTAATAAAACGCATTGACTTGAACAAAGGGGAAGGAATCCTTTAAGGATATGTAAGGATGTGGCAGACAACAGGGAGGGAGTTGTTCCCATTCACACTTCTTACCAAAAAAAAAAAAAAAAAGAAGTTAATTTACAATTTATTTCAAGCAGAAGTTATTTTGGTAGCAGGTTTCACAGTTAATATTGCAAGGCCAGGAATCTATAGCAGGGTAGTGAGAGAACGGGAGTGAGGGTTCACGTGGGGACGTCTTGAAGATTTAGGTTGATGTTGTTTGGAGGCAGGTGAGGCAGCTGGCTCGGCACCTCGCTCCTGCTCACTTTAAAAACTGAGCTTAGACGCTGACAGACACAGCCAAATGAAACACGATTGGTTTTAAAATTAGCGTAATCTCCTGCTTCAGCACACGGTCACTGCTTAGAGGGGAGCAGGGAAGGCTCGGCCCCGCAGAGCCATCGCGGGATGCGGGCAGGTCCGTGCGGCTCCTGGATTGAATGAATCCCTTCTCTGAAGCGCACAACTGCTCTGTGACCAAACCTGAGGGCAGGGTTCTGCTGGAGCTGCTCCTGATGTTTGGGGAGAAGAGGGAACAGCCTCCAGCCTTCTCGCTTCCCCTTAAAGGCATCACCCGGGGTCGCAACGGATCCCTCCGGGGTCACAACAGATCCCTCTGGGGTCACCCGGGATGAAGCGGATCCCTCCGGGGTCACAACGGATCCCTCCAGGGTCGCCCAGGGACGAGAAGCGACCTGGGTGACCCCGAACCCTCCGTGCAGCGCAGTCTGCAGTGAGGTACCGCAGCTCTCGGGGTCGCTTCAGGATTACGGCGAAGTGCAGTTTGAATTCGGTTCCGTTAGGATCCAAATTGCCCTTGTGAACACGCACACACCCATAATCAGGGCCTAAAACAATTAAAAGTAACTTGTGTTGGTATCGCAGAGCTCCCTCTGCTGACTCCCAGTGCCATGGCTAACGGGGCACCGGGGATGGGTTTGTTGGGTTTTTTCTTTTTTTTTTTTTCTTTTTTTTCTATTATTTTCACACTAGAGGGGAGGGCAAGTTTATTTACGGTCAGTTGGGTCTTCGGCTTTATTGCTGTGACTGGTTTCTGAGCAATTATTGAGAGTGAGTTAATTCTTTAACCTGCTGAATGAGACGTAGTGATTGAGACGTGTAACTGTTACGGAAATAGCAGTATTATTGTATTTAAAGCTGCAGAGAAAAAGCTTTTTTTTTTTTTTTTTTTTTTCTATAGAGTTTATTTTCTTTTCCACTCTTTTCTACCAAAAAAAAAAACCAAACCACAAACAAACAAACTTAAACCCTAGAGCCTATTACAACTCAACATTTACCATCCTACTGAGCCTGGGTGTGTTGTTCACAGGTTGGAGTCCTGATGAGCTTCCTCCTGCTCCTGATTTTCTCCCGCAGCGTTGTTTTCCTGTTTGTGGGGACAGCATCTCTGGGCCTGTTCCTCAGCAGCACGTTCCCCAGCATGCTGGCCTACACCGAGGACATCCTGCAGTACAAAGGTGAGCGGGGATTCGGGCACGCCTGGCAGGCTTTTGAAAGCAGGTGGGTGTTTGAGACAAGAGCTCAGATACCATCGCGCTTAGCAACTCCTTCCCGCTGCAGGGGTGCCTGGAAGAAGGATCTGCTCTCAAATACAATGTTTATTCAAGCTTGTAGTCAGAAAAACCAGACTGCACAAATCCCGGCTTCACTGTACTAATAACTTCTAGAGGCAGGGATCCAGGCTGGTTCTTAGTTTCCTGCAGCTGTGGGGCTCTCGGGGCTGACAAAAACGTCTCCTTGAGAGGCTCGCAGGGAAGTAGCTTTGAAAACATCACCCAGATTATCAGTGAACTGAAAATCCGAGAGTTTGGCCAGCTTTTACGGGAGGTCTCTGCCAACCTCCGTCTCTGGGGCGGCGATACAGAAGAAAGAAAATCTTTCCAGCAAGAAGCAGCATCCCCTCTGCCAACAGAGACAACAGGAGATGGTTTTCTGGCTGAAGCTTTTACCTTTCTGCACTGCTGCGGGTTAGAAGAGGCATTTTTCAGCACTAGACGGGAACAGACATGAGTGTTTGTAAATCCTGTACGGAGAGATCCCTGACAGAGGCAGTTTAAAGAAGCTACAGGCTGATCCTGCTGGCGGTTTCACCTGTTCCCTGCCAACATCACTTGCACCATTTCTTTGCAGGCTGTGCCACAACCGTGTTAGTGACCGGAGCTGGAATTGGAGAGATGGTGCTCCAGTTACTGGTGGGATCGGTAAGTGTGGGCAACGGAGAGGCAAGGCATGCCAAAAACTGACTGGAACTTTTAAAATAAGAAATCCTGGTCCTGGTTTTGGACAGCGGCTGGGAAAAAGCAGTTACCCTTGAGATATCAAACACTAAAGCTCTTACTGAATGCTGATGAGGTATTTGAGTGCTATGATGACACTTATTTTTTTTTCTTTTCCCCTCCAATTGCAGATTATACATGATCAGGGCAGCTACAGTTTCCTGGTCTGTGGGATGATCTTTGGAGGCTTGGCCTTTACCTTCTACGCTTTCCTCTTGTTTTTCCACAGGATGTACCCCAAGCCCTCATCAGGTAAGAAAGCAGCAGCACTCAGCCCCACTTTATAATGAGAGGAAGAGTGGCATCTGCACCAATACACAACCAGGGTGCAGCACTTCAGCAAAAATGCAAGGAAATGTTTATTTTACTGCTGCTTCCTGCCCCCTCTTCCTGCTTTGACTTGCCCACAAAGCCTTGGCAGCCGTAACTCAGGGTTTGCTTTCTTTTCTGCTGGAGAAACAGGGGGAAAAAGTAGGAATGGTCTGTGGATCGCAGAGGAGCTGTAAACCACAGAGCAGGCGCGGGTGAAAGCACGACCCTGCCGCTGCACAAGCTTCCCGACAGGGTTCCCTGGCTAAAATCCAGGGAACGAGGGGGCTGCCATCCAAAGGCAGCTGTCGGGCTCCTGAGAAAAGCCTCGCTGATAAAGGATTTCTCTTGCCTCTCACCTCAGTCTGCCCTGTGCTATTTGTTTTTATGAGCACCTTTTACAAAAGAAGCGCTGCATGACACGCAAAAAAAAAACCAAACAAACTTGTCTAGGTTCCTGGAAATGGGAGGTTTTTCTTCCCTGACCAGCCAAGTGAACACGGTCTAGTGGGGCAGGTGATAGAATAGCAACATTCATGTTTGGGAGAGCTCGTGCACCCTCCCTTTAAAGCTCAGTAGCATCAGTGCCTCCAGATGAAACACCCAGTGTCCGTTTTGCAGATGTGGATGATGCTTCACCTGCCAAACCAGCAGTGACAGATGACACCGGGCAGTATCAGCGCTAAAGAAGTGGCCAAGCTCTAGACAAGCAATAAACCGACACACAATTAAGAATTACTATTGAGGATGATTTCACATTTAATGACTGAATCATGCAAGTTTTCTGCAATCAAAAGCACATTAGATTGGGTAAGTCAGAATCAAGAAAACATCCTAAAACACTGCATTGAGCTAAGCACAAGTTGCCCGTGTCATGAAAAAAAAAGATGACTATAAGCATCAGGCAGACCCGGTGCCTGAAAGGCTACAGGCTGTGGCAGGGATGATGGGAGAACAGTTACTCCTGCAGATGAACTTCCTTATCGATTCAGGACGGAGAGGGGGCAGGAAGAGGTTCTCTCTCCTCTGTATGTAAGACTGAACAGCTCCTGGCCTAATCCTTGAATTTAACAGATTATTTTTTTTTTTTTCCTCTCGGCCTCTTAACGTGCAGAGCCCCTACAATTTACAGCACAATACCGGATTCGGCTTCTTTTTTGTGCAACACCTAACTCGAGTCTGTCACCTCCACACACAATTCCGAAGGGGAAAAAATGAGGCGATGGGTAGAACCCACCAGGGCGCAGCGGTAGCAGGACCTCTCTCTCTCTTTGCACAGTTGATTCCTGTACAATACACAGCATCAGCTATGTTCTCTAAGACAGTGTCTTATTCAGCATGCTAGGGTCTCTTGATTATTAAAATCATTAGCTTTTTTTTTTTTTGAGTCAAGAATGAGTTGCGATGGTTTGTTTTTGCTTTGAGTCACTAGTTTTAGCTGCTACGGTTGCAGTGTCTCTTAGGGTGGTTTTATTTCTAGCTTCCAGTTGAAGCTTAAACAGAGGTATTTGGGAGCCAGCCTCCAGCTGCTTAACCTGTGCAATACTTATTATACCAGGTGCCTTCCGTAAGGTACTCTCATTCCCCACGCATGACCTGTTACAAGCTATGAAGAAAGGACTGGCTTTAGAAGAGTGTAAAGCTACGTACATCTATTTCTTCAGTGAGTGATTGGACATGTACTTTTTGCTTTAACTGCTGTATGTGGATGTACATATGTACGTGTGTATATAAAGCAGTGTTTAATTAAAGGTGATTGATTGCTAGATTCTCAGCATGACTGGACTTGGGTAACTTAAGCTGTTTCTGGGCAAGATGATCAGGTATTGCCTTCCCCAGTTCTAGCTTCACTCAGACTGAATCAAACAGCTCTTTAGTTTAAACTGGTTTTGGCATTTCTATTTTTCCAAGCAGTGGATCTTACCTTCTATAATAGATCTTCAAAAGTTCCCAGGGGTAGCTCTGTAGAAAAAGTCTCGAGAGTAGACTCGTAGACTTGACTTTGTGCACCTAAAGCTGGGTGAACATCAGGCCAGTGCAGCTGAATTCTGGGCTTAACTCACCCAGGGACTTGACAAGCCCTCCTGCCTCCCATCCTGTGCAGTATGTGCTGTAATTCTTCTCCAGCACCACAGGATGCCACTGTTACTCTCCTTGAGATACCCAGAATGAAGCAAGGGTGTACTGCAAACCCCCTTTGCAGCAAAAACCCCCGATCTGTCATGAATAGAGCCCCTCCCACCATGACAGCATCCTCTCCATTCCTCTAGAGGAAATGAGCACGCAACAACACAATGAGGGAGTTTATTTGGAAAGAAGTCTACTCAGATGACACAGACATCGCACCAGGGACTGACAGCTATTTAAAAAAAAAAAAAAAAAGTATCTTAGGATGTCCTTGCAGATTGATAACACAGAGCTAAATGCTAGTGCCAGAGCAATACGTCTTTTCTTAGGCGTGTACTCGACAATTCCAATCTCTGCCTTGCTCTCAGCACTCTATCTAGAATGGAGCTACTCACCAAAGGGAATTTTTAGCAGAATAGCACCTGCTTTGGCCAAACAAGGGTGCAGCACAAGGAAGCTCCCACCAGCAACTCCCTCTGTCTCCATTCGAGCGAGATGTGAGGGCACCTGTGCTGCTCCCCCTCGTCACCCAGCGAACTGCCCTGCAGCTGGAACTTTCAATTTCCTCTACCGAAAAAAAAAAACAACCAACAAACCAAAAAAACCCAGTCAAAAGATCAGAAACTTTGTTAAAAATATTTATTTAAAAAAATACAATTGTTTTGCATGTCTGGTTGCACATAACTATTAACATATGATTGACTTGAATAATTTGCTACAATGCTTTTTTAAAGCCAGCTTGCATTATACAAAGCAAATCCCTCTGTCAGTTCTTACATAAAATAGTTTTCTTTAACTATTCCCACCCCATTTTTAAAAAAGATTGCAATACATTGATTATTTTTTTTTTTTTTGCACAAAAATTGAAGCAATAGAAAAAGTCACCTGATTTTTCTCAGGAAAGACCTTCATTACGTTTGAATAACAACTGCCAATACGCCGCTCTGTAAAAGCAGCTTTTGTTACTCCGAAGTGTCATTACAGTGCACTTCCTCCAAAGTAAGTTTTGCCTCTTCGAACTTTGCCTCCAAATTGTATTCAAACCTGAAATGTGTTCAAATAACTGCATATCTGCTATAATCAAGTTGATCAAGACTTTTTTTTTTTTTCCCCCCCCCCCCAATATGTAATCAACACGCTGAAGGTCTTCCTAATATGTTACCTTGGAAGGTTAAATAAAAGCAAATTTAGTAACACTGAACAATTACTGAAAACTTTGGCTATTTATGTACTTGCATTACATACCAGCATTTTTTTTTTTTTTAAACACAATGGCATTAAGATACTCTTATTATAAGGTATTACTTTCAAAAAGTTAGACTGAGAAGCTATTCTCTCCCAGGCAAGTTTACCCAACTGTAATGAGAGCACCAAAGCGGTGTAAGATTACAGTTGTCTCTAAAAGACCATGTCTAGAAAAAGTCTCCAGTGTAGGAAGTTAAGACACTCACTACAACATAACTTGCTTTGTCTCTTGACTTTGTGCTATATATATACACATATATATATTAAAAAAATGCAATTCTGTTCTGGAAAGAATAGCTGAAAATGTTCTCTCTGCTGCTTTCAATGCAATTCTTACCACTGATGGTTCTTCTAAAATTACAGGTAAGTAAAATGGAATCCATTCCAGTGATAAAAAGTTAACTGACACAATGTCTGCTCAGCCTGCCCCAAGCAGAGATGCCAGGGCTGCTGGAGCATAAAAAAAACCCACTGCAGACATCATCCTGCTGATGTGCAAAAAAAAACCAAAAACAGGTTAACCTAAAAATTCCATTGAGGAGTAAACACTAAAGGCGTCAGAAAGTCACTTTCCAAAACAGATGTGCACTTTAAAAATAAACAGAACAACTGTCACACGTTACCACAGCTGATTAGGTTGCTTAAGTTCTCTAAAATTTAAGTCAAGCTTCCCTCCCCTGACTCTTATCTAAGCCACAGAGGAGAAGCTGCAAAGACCAGGTTCTCAGCCGGTGTAAGTCGGACCAGTTGCAGCGAAGCCAACAGATCTGCTCTGATTTACAAGCCTCTGGCGTGCGATTCCCAGCGGCTGGCTCGGAGATTCTCAGCATTCCCAAGACAAAGTCTCCTGCTGGTTAAGGATCCCTGCTCAGAGTCGGTTCAGTCCCAGATTAATTCCAGCTGTCCTAATATACATTAGTGGAGACAACCATTATCCTTACCGTACATGTTGCTAGAAATTTCCCATTTATTCATCTCTATTATTAAGAATATACTTCTCAGCTATAAAAACAGAGGGGGGGGGAGGGAGATAAGCATTAAATGTGCTACTGTACTTATCACAAAACACTGTGACGTACATAAGGCCATCTGGTAACACTGCAACAGAATACAAACAAGATCTTAAAAGGGAGTTTTAGAATAACAAACTTTTTTTTTTTTTTTTAAAACTTTTTAACTACAATGAATAATCTCAACCCTGTTCACAGAGAATTAACGTTAAAACTAGTACATCATCTATATAAAACTCTGTGCAACTGAACAACAGCAGAACAAAAAGTCAACACAATTCTATAAAAGCAGTTTCAAAGCCTGAAGATTTAAGACATGCTAGCCAAAAAAAAAAACCCACAACACGTCTCAAGGAGCCTAGAGCAAACCCAGGTATTGTAACCCACCCCCCCCCCCCCC